CCCCAAAACCCCAAAACCCCAAAACCCCAAAACCCCAAATATAAAGAGAAAAATGAATATATTTTATAATAATTAAATTTAAAGATGAATAAACATCTTATTTTGATCCTCCTAGTACCTTTGCTAGTTTTAGCAGAGGATTATGACATTGTCAAAGTTGGAATGAATGCTAAATATACCAAAAAGGCATTACAGCAATTTCTTGTGTACCCTCCTCTAAACATTAATATTGATAAGGCAGACGATAGAAAATTATTGATGAGCACTACAAACATAATGATGGATTCTCCACATCCGGATGATATCGAATTTGATTTTGATCAGGAAGATGAACTTATTACTGTTAAGATAAAAAATCAACATTTTAACTTCAGCTCTTTGATTACTTTTAAAAAGGCTTTCTTTACATTCAATGGAAATGCTCAATCAGCCGGAATAATTGATGAAATATATTTGACCTTTGACTTGACTACTCAAAAAGGACAATACACTAATACTCCTGTTGTCGATATCACAGAAATAGATTTTGATTTTAACTATAAAGATTTGAAATTGTCCCTTTCATCTAAAATCCTTAACACCTTATTAACACCAATCAAAGGACTTCTGAAGAAGTCAATTAAGAAATCATTATTCAAAATTATAAGATACAGGCTAGAAAAGAGTATCTTTCAGCAAATGAATGAAGAGTTAACAAGAGTCAGTGGAAGGTTCATGATTGATGACGGTGTATTAGTTGACTTAGATGCTCTTGACGGCATCTGCATCAAGGATGATACTCTTATTCTTCCTTATGAAGTTACTTACTACCTCCCTAAAGGATTAAACACTACCGAACAAGTGGAAGAAGAGTGCGGGTCAGACTGTGGACACGAAGAGCATTCTGAGATAGAGACAGAACAAGAATCTGAAGAAACTGAAGAAACTGAAGAGGATGAATTCAAATTTTTCCTGGTAGACCAATGCGTAGAAAATAATAAACTTATTAAGTTCTGCTTTGGTCGTTCAAATGAAGAGCAACAAGTTGAGGAATTAGACGATAACTTCACAAGAACCAAAAAGTATTTCTTGACTACTCTTACATCCATTTACAATGATTCTGCAATTGGTTTTGAAAATGAAGAGTAAAAGGGATTCTTTAACTATCAAATGGCAATAAAGAATTCTGCCTCTATCCAGAGATTATGCTTGTACTAAGTATATATCAGAGGAGAAAAGCCAAGAATTAATTGCTATTAAGTCAAGAATTTCCTACAATTACGATCTTTTTAGCTAGCTCATCAAAAACTTTTTCCATTTCATGATATCTTTTTGTTTGTTCACTTAATCCCTTTTTAACAATAGATCAGTTTTTCGGTGAAATTATACTCGGGCATTCAACGATTTCCACTATATGGGGTTTTGGGGTTTTGGGGTTTTGGGGTTTTGGGGTTTTGGGG